GTAGTGTCACCATACCTGGTGAAAACCATGAAGTCCACATACCCCAAGTGGTATGACGAGAATGCTCATTGTGAATATCACGACGGTGTCCCAGGGCATACAATTGAGAATTGTTACGCATTCAAGAGAGTCATGCAGAAGATGTATAACCAGAACTGGATCGACTTCAACAACTTGGGGGAATCCAAGTGAGGAAGACCATTTCATCATTTGAGGCATTCTGTTTGAATTTGTTTTTCATTTTTTTCCTCAAGTTTTTGTAAGGACTTTTAAATAAATTTATGTTACTTTAAAGACGTTAAGCAATGAATCATATTTGCAAACTTGCAATTCTTTGAATATCATTTGAATTAAGAAACTCTACATATAGTTCAAAGTTACAGATCTTTGACGAAGTAACATGATTTAAAACAAGGACTTTTGACCTTACCCAGAATATACACTCAAACACCATACCCTGCTCTTGCAATTAACCAATGTAACATTTTCCTTTCATAAGGTACGGACAACATGGGGCATCATTTGCATATCACAATTACTATACTTTTTGTTTAAGATGTTCAATGATGATCATTATCTTTACAGATGGAATAGTCGAGTAAGTGAATCTAGTTTATGTCAGTTGCTTGAAAAATGAACTCTAAAGATAAAATTTTTGACTTTCAATAACACCTAGACTATAACAGGTTCTTCTTGACAATCTTAAGAAATTAAATCCGTAAAGCTGAGCTATTCCACTAAGGCAATTGGTTATAGAGGAAACTTGAAAGCACTGGCCTTATGATTAGATTACGTTCAAACCATGACATTGCTCGAACACTTGGCAATTCGGTGTTTGCTCCACTGCTATTGTTCGGTCGAAGACTTTGTGATAAGATGAACCCTTCAGTTAACTTGATAAAACTGATTATAATGTCAAGTTGTCCCTCTAAAGCAATTGGTTAAACGCCCCGACTTTATGGATTCAACTAGCCAAATAACGGTAAATTAAATCAAATTTATCTAAGCAAGAAATTTTCGGTAATGATGGACTAAGAGAGTTAAGGAACACCTGTTATAGTCAATTTCACACGAGCACTCAGAAATTTTATTTTTAGACCGATATTTCTGCACTATCTTTGTTAGAGGAGCTTACAAAACTTGAACAAATAAAAGATTTCAGAGGACCGAAATAAAAGGTCTAGTAATTGATCATGCTAGTTGCGTCATTTTGTCCACACCCAACTAAAATGCCAAACCAAAAAAGCATGTTTTAATATTTCAAAAAATGAAATTTTGGGTTACCGAAACCTTAGAAAGAAGGCCAACCTAAAGCCAACTCATCCATTTGAACATTTTTCAAAGAGTTGTAACTCTAAAAGCATTAAAAGAGCTATTGATTCCTTTGATATACTTTGAACTCGTGTTTATAATTTGATTCAATTGCAAACAATATTTTACAGAATTTTTATCATTTTCTCTCCTAAAAATAAGAAAAAAGGACAAAAACATTTTCAAATAGGATAATCTCAAGTGTGAAAAGTCTTGGAAGCTGTTAAGGCTCATTTTGCATCTATTGAAGAAAAAAGAACAATGTCAAGTTTCGAGCACTTCACATTCTTGAAAACAATTAGTTCGAGAGGCCATATAGAATTTACTACATCAACCTGAGAAAAAAATGGGGCATGGTCGATTCCAATGACAAGACAAACAGACAAAAATGAGGCTCCATCCTAGAGATAAAATTAAATTAATTCATGTTGCATGCATCTTAGACATACTTAAGAGCATCATATTTATCATTTTTTTCACATACATAATTTTTGCAGCTTTAGAGTCAATTTCAACTTCACAACGAAGGATATTAGACTCGAGATAACACAAGCTCAACTTCACAGCGAAGAGGCGACTGACTGTCAAAAAATAACTTTTCAGTTTCATTCAGAGTCAATTTCAACTTCACAGCGAAGGATATTGGACTCAAGACAACACAAGTTCAACTTCACAGCGAAGGGGTGACTGACTGTCAACAAACAAATTTTCAGTTTCATTCAGAGTCAATTTCAACTTCACAACGAAGGATATTGGACTCAAGATAACACAAGTTCAACTTCACAGCGAAGGGGCGACTGACTGTCAACAAACAACTTTTCAGTTTCATTCAGAGTCAATTTCAACTTCACAACGATGATATTAGACTCGAGACAACACAAGCTCAACTTTACAGCGAAGGGGCGGCTGGCTGTCAACAAACGACTTCCCAGTTTCAGAGCCAATTTCAACTTCACAACGAAGGATATTAGACTTGAAACAATACCAACTTAGATTTCAACTTCACGACGAAGGATATCCAATTCGAGGCTCAACTTCACAACGAAGGGGCCATCCACGGTTTCAACTTCACGACGAAGGGAATTGTGCCCACCAAAGGCCTTCGAGTTTGACTACGCTCAACTCTAAGGTACATTATTTGCAGCATAACTTAAGTCGAGAAGGGTTATCTGCCAACCAAAAGACCTTCGAGTTCGACGACGCTAAGCTCCAAGGCACATCATTTGCAGCATAACTCAAGGCTATAAGGGTTATCTGCCAACAAAGACCTTCGAGTTTGACTACGCTCAGCTCCATGGCATATCATTTGTAGCATAACTTAAGTCGAGAAGGGTTATCTGCCAACAAAAGACCTTTGAGTTCGACTACGTTCGGTTCAACGACATATCATTTGCAGCATAGCTTAAGTCGAGAAGGGCTATCTGCCAGCCAAAGACCCTCGAGTTCGATTACACTCAGCTTCGAGGGCACATCATTTACAACATAACTCAAGCCTAGAAGGGTTATTTGTCACCAAAAGACCTTCGAGTTTGACTACGCTCAGCTCCAAGGCACATCATTTGCAGTATAGCTTAAGTCGAGAAGGGTTATCTGCCAACCGAAGACCTTCGAGTTCGATTACACTCAGCTTCGAGGGCACATCATTTACAGCATAACTTAAGGCAAGAAGGGATATCTGTCAATAAAATTGTCGAGTTCGATTCCATTCAGCTTGATGACACCTCAATCACACTATTGTCTGGCTGTAATCGAGGTTCTCAAGTCGAGAAGAATACTTGGGTTAACCATGCCTTAGTGACAAAAAACCACTTTCCAGCAGCATAGCTTAAGTCGAGAAAAGCCATCTGTCGACAAGGATCTTTCGAGTTCGATTTCATTCAGCTCGAGGGCCTATCAACCACATGGTGGAGTCAAAGAATGATTTTCCAGTCGAATTTTCAAACCAAGGTCTTTAAACCGAGTAAAAGACCGAGGTGAACTACAACGAGAAGCCTTATCCCGATTCAAATCCCAAACCGCGGTTTCAATTCCATATCACTTCAAGATGGACTCGACTTCGCGACGGAGGAGCTATCCGCAGCTCAATTCGATTGGGAGTTATTGAAATATCAGAGTCAATTTTCAACTCCATCGAACGAAAAATGTGTCTTTTAATCTTTGTCCTATCCCCGTTACACGACTATGGGAAAAGAGGGGCAGCTGTAGACACTACTTTTCGCCCAGCAACCTCCCCCCGAAGTTCACGGCACCAACATCACCAAGTCAGCAAGTTTTAGTCTCAATAGGACTCTATCACTAACAAACCAAGCATTTGAGTTCAAAAGAAACTCTCTAAAATTAGCAAAGTCTTATGCTATAAATGGATACGAAATACACATCGAGAGGGGGTGAAACCAAAAGCAAAAAAATAGAGGGGGAAGCATTCGAAACAAGGGTGCAAGCCATTCGGGATATCTAAAGCCTTCGAAGGAAGAAACTCGAAAATATATTGCATGCATCAAGATCGGAAAAAGAATACAAAGAAAGGAAAAGTCTTTACCATTTTGATTGAAGGAAACGAAAAGGGAGAGCCATGCTGAAGAAGAAACAGAGGTGAGGAAGATGAAAACACGCGTGAGTTAGAGATTTTAGTGCCTTTGGAAAGTTTTTGTTCTAATTAGCACTCAGGTCATCCAGGAGTTACGTATTTTCATATATGGTACTCATTTTCTTTTCTTTCAATTTGGTCACTTCATGTATATTGATTACTCCTCTAAATTTTCACTTTATTATTTTTTATCATTATTTTTAATTAGTATTATTTACGTTTATCTTTTAGTTGTTTTTATTTTATTATTTTTAAGATTTAACTTTTTATTTTTTTAATTTTTTTTACTTCTTTTATTTTTTTAATTTTTTTTACTTCTTTTATTTTTTTTATTTCATTCATTTTTTCTTTCTTTTGATTCATTTAACATTTATTTATTATTTACTGTCTAATATATTTTCGACCTTTTTTAGAGAAATTACAATCGATCATAGGTAAGTAATTCGAATCGGGTTTTTAAATTTTAATTAAAATTTTTTAATTTTCGCAATTAAGACAACTGACAAATTAATTGGTATCGAAATGGCGGTTCAAGGGTGCTAATCCTTCCTTGACCGTAACCGACTCTCGAACCCGAAATATTTCTGAAAACGCAGATCAGGTAAGATGGTTTCCGAACTACCTAAATATCAATTTAAAATGATCGGTGGTGACTCGTAATCCATTATTCCAAGTCGAAGCCCAATTCCGAGACTCACCCGAAAGACGGTTCCGACACATCTTTAAACTATGCTTTTATGGGTCTTCTACTACACGAATTTACTCTACGCCCAGATTCTGTTCTTACTTATATCTGTGGCGTGAGCTTAGCGCTGAGCATCATTCTGTGTAAGAAGATGAGTAGCCCAAACTTCATACCACCGAGATTGTTGGAACACAAGTGTTAAAATTTCAGTATCGTTTCCGAATCCTTTTTTTGGAAATTTAGATTACATCTCAAGCAAACAATAAATTATATATAATTATTGAAAATTTAGATTACATGAACTCAAAAAGAATTTAAACAGTGGCATGCATATTGATGAAACTGTGAAAGAACCATGTATTATGACCGTATCTCACATTTCCATACAACAAAACTAAGGAAAGATACATGGTGAAGTCAAGTAGGGTTCATGTCCTGAAACAGTTCCTCCCAAAATGTATGTTCAATAAAGTCCCCACCTGCCTTCTCCCTGCTGTTGCCACCATGAATCTTTGGGCTCCTATTCGTGAGCACCAACCTCTCTTGCGCCATTGCAACATCAATAGAACCCGATGTTATCGGGCTCTTGTAACTAAACACCAACCTCTCCTGCAATTTCCTATCAAGGGGCCCTGATAATTTCAAGCTCCTAGGAGTGACCACGAATTTCTCTTGTCCTCTATAATCCAAGGGACCAGATTTCGCTATTGTCCTCCTGGTTCTCTGCATTGGGTGTTCTATTTTCATCTCCTTCTTTGACAATGCTTCTCTCCACTTTTCTCTATAAGAAACCGGCGCCGGCGACGGAAGTGCCTTTGTTTTCTTGTTGTTCTCATGGTGAACCAAGTTGTTAACGTACTTTAAGTAGTTCCTGATTTTGTTGATTGCGAAAATGAGCTTGGACAAACCATTAGAGGCCTCTCTAACTTCCTTCCTAGCAAGCTTGAGAATCTCCTGCCTATGCTTGGCAACGGAAATGCCCATGCTCTGAAGAAACTCATGGTTGAGGTATGCTAAATCCTCCTTTTGGAGCTCATTCCCAGAAAAGGCAAAGCCATAGTTATAGACAAGTGAGGGGTCAAGGCCAGTTTTGGATAACCAGGAGTACCAGTCCATGGCTCCGGTGGTTGGGTTATGGCATTGGAGGGTTGTAGTGTGTTATAAGATGGTTGCATGTGAGTGGTCCAATACAAGTTACCGAGTAGCTTTAAAAGGATCGAGTAAATGTGGTGGGGATATCTTCTCTGTCATCTGTAGTTAAAATTGAGAGGGACGCGAAACGATAATTCATGAATATGAATGAGTAGGGGGAAATTACCCACCTTTTGTGGTTGTGCTATATTCCATGTTCGTTATAATAACAACTATGTTACGACAATCAAGTTAAGGTTTAATCTAAAAATAATTAATCTGTTAAAAGAAATCAATAGTTCAAATATTATATATATAATTGTTAATAACAAAAAAAAAATATAGGTATTATACTCTGCAGAGAAAAAACAAATTTATATTTTAAAGATAATATTATTAAAGATATAATCATAAACCTGAATATAAATCTTAACTAATTAATATCAGCAATCACAATTTTCTAATAAAGGAATCAAAACTGAAAAGCAGGAGACGAATAAATGAAGCCAAATACGGATGACTTTGGAGAAAACTAACGTGATAAACAATCAAACTGATGAATAAATAGAGAGGAGGGTCTTATTCTTTGGGGTTTATTTAATCCAACCACAACTTAGGCTTGTCGGCTGTGGCTATCCTCACTATTTATTCGTTTGTTTGTTTGTCAACGCGTATTTGCCTTTGGCTTCGGATCCATTTGGAGTTTATTTATTTAATGCTTAAAGGGTAACTTTAGTTGATAAAAATTAATTAATTTACTATGTTACATCATCATATATATATATATACACTCACATTATAAACTACCACATTAATATCATAAATAAACAATAATAATGAATACCCATAGGACCATCCTCATTCTGATTCACCAGGGTAGTCTTTTACTTCTGCTTTAAACTTTTGTTTAAATTATATAAAATATAATTTACATATGAGATTTGCGAATCTTCGTTGTTGAAGGTCAAGGTGTATTTATTAGGCATCTTGTTTAATTTTTGTTTAAGACCGCCCCCTTGTTTAAATTTGATGCTTTGAAGAGAGAGAGGTAGCAAAGCCATCTTCAAAGGTATGGAACCCGTGATGTCAAGTTGGGGACTCATTCTTGGTGCCTTGTGTCCAAGAGTTAGCAAAGGAGCCATTGAAAAGTTCCTCCTCGATACGTAGTACCAATGAAGACTCTCCCATCGTATCACCACAAATCTGTCGCCACAAGTTCCTGTAATTATGCACAAGTTATCTTCCCAACAACAACTGGAGCAGTTGCATGCATGCAAGAATGGGGTTTCTTCCAGGTACTTGTTTTCTCCTAGCAGGAAATATAGACTGATGAATTTTGGGGTATAAGTTTAAAAGACGGAACTGTGTTGCAGTTAGTCACCACGGAGTGAGCATTCACTGGTGGAAAAAATGAAGATGGAGGTCCAAGAGTTTCAAATCTTCCGATGGAAGAGAAGAAGAAGCTTCGGCCAAACCAGTGAAATAGGATTTGGACAGGCCTTTGTTTTGTCTGAAGAGAAAAAGCTGAACTGGGGAGATAGGTTCTACATGATTACCCTTCCAACTTATTTGAGAAACCCGCACTTATTCTCTAATCTCCCACCCGCCTTCAGGTTCTTTTGATCTGCATCTGTCAAGTACGATTAATCCATAGTATCTTTTATATCTTTTGTTAAACAAATAATGATTGCAGAGAAACCTTGGAAGCTTATTCTGTAGAACTTAAACATCTTGCCAAGAAACTATTGTACCTTATGTTAGAAGCTTTAGGGATGGACCCTAATGACATGAGGTTGCTGTTTGAGGAAGGTCAGCAAGGGATGAGGATGAACTATTATCCTCTATGTCCAGAGCCAGAGCTCGTAATCGGTCTGAACTCTCATTCTGATGCCGTTGGCCTCACCATTCTACTCCAGGTCAACGAGATGGAAGGTCTCCAGATAAGGAAAAATGGGGTTTGGGTGCCCATCAAACCACTTCCGAATGCTTTTGTGATCAACATCGGAGACATTATGGAGGTAATTATTTTGCTGACCACCATTTTTTATTCCCAGTTAGTCCATATGGTCAGCAGATGAATAATATTTGCAGATAATATCCAATGGGATTTACCTTGTTTAGGAGAATAGGCTTTGCTGATTACCTAAAAGGTTTGTACTCCCGTGAGCTCTGTGGAAAATCCTATTTGGATACCTTAAGGCTGCGTTTGAATCAGTAATCAAAGTGAATGAAAGATTGGTGGCTACTTAGGTTAGGGGGTAACAAACAAATCAGAGATGGATGAAGTGAATATCTAACTTTTATTAGAATTTCATAATTTGACTACTTGGTCCCATAACCTTTGTATGGTATCAATCATCCTGCATTTTCAATCTTTTTGTTTTCTACTGTTAAATTTTCTTGAAGCCAATCGCTGAACAAATGAATTGATTCACTGTGCTGGTCGAGAACAAAAGAACATGGTAAGTGGTACTCGAAGAAGAAAATCAGTAATTTTACATTTTCTTTTCCTTCGACATCTGATTAACTATGTACATTCCTTGTTTTTTACAGTCTACCAGCTTTCTTTCTAGTCTTTCTTCTTCAGTTTTCATACAATTTTCTTTCCACATCTTCATTTCTCTTCTTCTCACTTATTCAGACCTTTTTTTATTGGAAATAAAGTGGTCAAGCTACAGCTTCGGGTATAATATGAAGACTTCTTGAGCAAGAAAATACCTTATTTTACCTAATTAACAAGTAGTATGGATGAAACATTTAAACTCTCCCCAGAAATTTTCTTCTATGAATACTGATTATTAAGCATCACGTTCTAAGTATACTTCGGAGCAGAAACTACATATAACAAGAGATAAATATCAGATTATTCTTTGAACAAGATTCCAACATTCTTTCAGAATCCAACCAACAATATGATCAAGAGGATCAACACACAACTCACCGGTAACACAATGCAGAAACCAGGGAACATAATACAATCACTCAGTAGTACTTGAATAGAACCGTTTGAAGAGCAGAGTGTAGTGTATGAGAATCACACATCCAAAGCAACTCATCATTTCAAAGACTACATTGAGGACATCGATATGAATTAGAAGCAGGGGAAATATCAGATAGTTTTGGACATAAATCAGTAGATCATCCCGAACTAGAAAACACAACATGATTTTTTAACCAATCCAATGGACTGTCTGCAACGACGTAACCCATAGAACGCAGATGAAACTGCAAACGGTGAGAGGCGAACAATGAAATGATGAATAAAATAGGGTAAGACTAATTACGTTGGTCATGTAATAATTAATCTATTCAAAAATTATACTATTCAAATAATACTCCTCTTAAATTATCATCGAAATAATATTTCTCTTATTAATATATGAATTTTACCAAAACAAAATTATATGCGGTGATACTTATAAAAAATACGTGTATTGTAAATACGAGTTAGATAATAACATCAATAAAGCTCTGTATGATTAGATATTTGCTCTTTAAAATGTCAAAACATAATTTTTTTAAATATATATTCTTGAGTGTTTGAAAACAAAGCTTTCACGCACACTTGCACGTTATTTTCATCGTTTGGCTTGGCACGTACCACATATATTTTTCTTTTTTAATAAAATTTATATACTTTTTTATTCATATTATTATTTTCTAATTGATCTTCTAATGCATAGTTAGTACCACGTAGGACGAAGGTCTTGTCAAAATCATATCTACAAACGCAATTAACATGATACATCTTTATTTATATTATACTGAGAAGATAATATTTCGATAAATAATAAAATAAGGGCTATTTTAAGGTTTAACTTTAAAAATGATAATATATGGGGGAAATATTTAAAAAATATATAGTGTTTGAGAATAATTATTTTTTAATAAATTATTTGATCTTTATGTTATTAGTTTATCACAAAATAATTATTCATATTGTCAATTTATCATAAAATGATCACTTGAACATTGATAAAATGGTACGTCATTAAAAAAATAGTTTTAAAGTTAACTCTTAAATTTAATTAAAATATAAATTTAAAAATCTACAACACTCACTCTTCAACGTTGCCACAGATTTAAATAAAAAAATATAAACATAAGGAATGAAGGAGAGAAAAAAATTAGAAAAGCTGAAACTAAAATTTGAATTGAATTGAATTTTTTTATAAATTAAAGTGAATAAAGCTAGTATTTATTCAAAACTTTCAATTAATTAACAATGAACACTATATCCTTACATACGTGGTGTTAGAATTTAGAATCTAAAAAAATAAAACAAATCTCTTAACCACTGAGGTCGCTTGGTAGTGTGAATGGATTATTTTATGTTTAATTAGATAAATAATCTTATTCTATAATAAAAATAAAAATGTTCGTATTAGGGAATTAAAATTTTAATAGGGGGGGAACTCCTCGTCTTCACTAAACCATGTAAAAGGAAAAAAAAATAAGAAACAACACATGAAAGTACATTTTGCTCTATACAAAATTTATAAAGAATTAAAGGTGGATTCCTCTAATTTTTGTTGGTAATGCTCAATCCCACATAGTGTTGGAAACACTATTGGGAATGGTATTTAAGGCTTGACATTCCACTTCTTGTTGAGTGATAGAGAACAAGGGGGCTCTCGCGCACCGCCGCCGCCGTCTCGGCTCGGCTCGGCTCGTGGTCGTGGTCGTGGTAATACGTGTCTTCGACACATCCGCGCGGATACTATCTTTTAGAGAAAATTCTTGAGGAATTTCTCTTTGAAAGAAACAAATGGAAAATGTGAAAGATATCATATTTGTTATCAGAAATTAAACAGTTTATTCCTAAATTAAATCAGAACGTTAAGATGTACCTGGAGTTATTTGATTTAATTCCAGGGGTACATGATATAATTTCGGGAGTTATAACAGCTGAATAATGATACAATGAACCTGGACTATTTCTGAGTCAGGTTCATCTAGACGTTTAAGCTGTTACAAATAAGAGGTTTAATCCTGAAATTTTATGGACGATTTTAACCCTATTTCTAGCCTATAAATAGAGAGCTATATTCAACTTCCCAACTCACTCCAAAAGCATTCACAATTTACTTACAAAGTGTTTCTAAAGTTCTCTCTGTGAGTTTTCTCTGAGTGTTTTCCGATCAGAAATGCAATACCACCAGTAGTCCACTCCGGTTCGGGTGTACGGAATTCGGAGCGACCGTGTTAACCTCGGGGGACGGTCCACTTACTGCAGCGATTACACACATCAGGGCGAATTCGTTTCTAAGGCAGTGGTTCTACCACGACACGGTTTACGAATCTGTTCTTCTTAATTACTGTTTATATTTTCAGTCAGTGCTAACGGTGTAGTTTTGTAGTTCATATATCTAACAATTTAGAAACGAATTCCATAAACTGCAATCATGTCGACACCTTGAGCAAACTCATTCCAGATCTTTCCAAGCTCGATGCACTTGATGGAAAGAACTATAGAAGGTGGTCCCAAAGAATTCTGATATTCTTCAAGCAACTTGATCTTGATTACGTGTTGCTCAAGCCACCACCTACCATGCCGCCAACCCCAGCTGTCGGTAATGATGCGGATGCGGTCCTCAATGATGATGCCTTAGCAACTACCGTCGCCGCTCTCACTACCTACGAGAAATACGAGAAGGACAACAAGACGGTACGAGGACATTGCTCAGCCACATGTCAAATAAACTATTTGATATGTTCCTTAGAGAAAGGAGTGCCAAGGCAATATGGGACACTCTCGACAAGAAGTATGGTGCGGATGATGCGGGGATCAAGAAGTACGTTGTTGGCGAATGGCTCAAATTCCAGATGACAGACGACAAGCCAATAATGGATCAAGTCCATGACTATGAGAACTTAGTCGCTGACATCATCGCTGAGGGATGCAAATGTGTGAGGTGCTACAAGCCAATGTACTCATTGAGAAGCTGCCCAAGTCCTGGTTCGATTACCGCAACTCTATTAAGCATAAAAAGAGAGACATTTCGCTTAAAGAACTTGTGGGCCATATGAAGATTGAAGAAGCCAACCGTTTAAAAGATAAGCTTACTAATTCTATGAGTAATTATCTTTTAGAGCTAACTTAGTTGAGTCTAAATTAAGAAGATCATGAAACGTGGGAATCAAGACAAGAAGACGAAACCACAGAAGGCTACCAACTTCAAGAAGTCAGGAAAGGCCAAACCGGAAGGAAAGACGTTCAAGTGTTATGTCTGCGATTTACCTGGCCACAAAGCTTACCAATGCCAACACCGTTCAGACCGCCAGAATGACAAAAAGCCACAGATGCACGTTGTAGAAGAAGATGATGAGATCATTGCTGCGGTGGTCTCAGAAGTTAATCTGGTGGAGAACAGTTCAGAATGGGTAGTTGACACTGGCGCTTCGAAGCATTTCTGCGCAAGGAAGGAGTTTTTCACCGAGTTTGAGGATGGGAACACTGGTGAACGTGTGTACATGGGGAACTCTAGCAGCTCTGAAGTGCTAGGCAAAGGCAAGGTTTTACTCAAGTTGACTTCTGGTAAAACTCTGGCTTTAAATAATGTTCTGTATGTACCTGCCTTGCGTAGAAATTTGATAAGTGGTGGGCTTCTGAATAAGGCAGGCATTAAGTTAGTTTTTGAGGCAGATAAACTTGTACTTTCCCGAAATGGTGATTATGTGGGGAAAGGGTTTTTAAGCAATGGTTTATTTGTCATAGAAACTCAATTTAATGAAAATAAATCTACCACTTCTGCTTATATTGTTGAATCCATTGATATGTGGCATGCTAGATTAGGACACGTGAATATTCATGCTTTAAAGAAATTAATGAATATGAATATTCTGCCTAAACTAGACACAACTAGCTTTAACAAATGTGAGATTGTGTAGAAGCTAAGCATACTAGACCTCACTTTAAGACTGTTTCTAATAGAAAGACTGAACTGTTAGAACTCATTCATACTGATCTAGCAGATTTTAGAAACACTGAAAGTAAAGGAGGAAAACATACTACATAACTTTTGTAGATGATTATTCAAGATATACAAAAGTTTATCTCCTAAGAACTAAAGATGAAGCTAAAAACTTCTTTCTTATTTATAAGGCAGAAGTTGAAAATT